GGGACTGGCTGGCTGGGCGGCTGTGGCGGCTGCGGCGGCTGCGGGGGCTGCGGGAACCCGGACTAGGACCACAGGGAAGGAAGGCGGGAGCGAGGGCCAGGCCCAAGGGCAGCGGGACCTGTGAAGAAAGCTGCGACTACAGAGAAAGATGAGCTGGTGAGTGGGCGCCTTGGGCGCAGGTTTTCTTTGCGTCCCTTGCAGGCTGTAGGGACAAAAGCCTGGGCAGGGGTCTGGAGAGCCCGAACCGTACCACCCTAGGATACTCTGCCCTCCTTATGCATGACGATGTCGGGTAGAGGGCTCGTGGGGAAGGGGTGCTCAGTACGGTGACGCCTCTAGAGTGGTTGAGGCGAAAAGGCAGGATTTAATTAAGGGTCTCTAAGGCAACTTTCGCGGAAACTTGCTTAAGCAGAGATCTAGACCCCAGGAAAAGAGAAGGTCCACAGCTGGATCCTGAGGAATATGGGGTTCCGAGAGGATCTTTTTGAATTAGGCTTCTAGATGTACTTTGTTTCCAGAGTGAGGCTGCAGGGTGAGCCTCCGGACCCAGATTCTCACCAGGAGTCCTTGATTGCGATTCAGCTATAGTTTCCCTAAACGTAGATGGTATAGTGTTCCCTTCGCCCTTAGTGATGGCAGCTCCAAATCATGGGATCCTTTCGACCCTGTTTCACAAGCTCCCTACACTGCGAGGAGCAGTTGAACTGTTCTTGGTGCGCTCAGTAACTTTGCCCCAGCTATCAGCACTTGAAGCCCCAAGGACCTGGCTAACTCCCGCCACCACCAGGAAATTAAAAGGCTGACGGGCTGTCCCTTCCCGGATTGGGATTTCCTGTTTGGAAAAGCTTTACAATTCCAACCTCCTTCCAGCGGTTCCTCTTTTACCTTTCTCACTTAAAAGAGGGAAGACTCCTGCAGCCTTTTATGTGGACCGGCTAGGGCTGGAAATCCTTTAGCTCGGCCCAGCCCTCTTCCCTGGAAGTCTTCCTTTTGTGGTTCTGAAATAACTCGAGCTTTGGGATGCATAACTAGTCACAGCCCGGCGCAGCTGTGAGGGGTCTAGAAGAGACATAAAATGTGGAGTCCGTTAGTATAAATATCTGCCAGCCGCATTTCCTTCCAGAATATGAATGTGTAAGTTACAGATGTAAATTTTCAACTATGATGCTTGTAACTAGGCTCCCAACGTGGGCTTAATTTGGACGTTTGAGATTTTTTTCTTTGGGCTTCAAACGTTTGAATTTAGCTGGGAGCCTCCAAATATGGTTCACAGTTCCACAGGGTTAAACTTTTGCCCTTGGATCACTTGAATTCTTTGTTCCTGGTAGGATAGCAACAGAGTAGTTGGATTTGGGATAAATAAACCTTGAGAGTAGCCCACTATTTTAACAGAATATGCCTGGTGCCGTTGGCTTCAATTGTGTAAATATTTATTTGAATAAAGAGCTAAGATTCTCTGAAAAGTAGCAGTTGTATCTTTCGAGGTTCCCTTTTCCTCTCTCGGACTTAGTTGTTTAAAAGGTTTTTATTTATTTATTTTTCCTGATAAATTCATTGTGTAACTTAAACATAACGCATAATTAAGAAACTCGGTACAGGGTCTCCAAACTTTGACAAAGGGAGGAGAGTTGAGTTTTTGCTTTCAGTTAATGTAGCTTTTACTCCTGAGGCAGGGAAGTTTGCAAATCCTAGCTCTCTCACAAACGGCAAAATGAGATGTTTGGTTAAGAGCCGTCATCATTGTCAATTTTCAGGCTGGTTCTCTGCAGCTGGCAGCTGCTGTTCTTTTGGGGTGAGAATGACTGCAGAGATGTCTGCTTGATCCTTTTGGGGCAAGCAAGAAATGCTAGATAAGAAGATAGGGAAAGGTTTAACAAATGTCTTCAACAACTCTGGCCAAAGTTAACTACTTTTGCAAGCATTCTCAGGAGACAGAAGAAAAAGCCAAAGTTGATTTGATCAGACTCTGGTTTTCACTCCTTTCATCAGTGTTGAAGACTCTAAGCATGATGGGTTGTGGAGTACAATGAAGAAATCAAGTCTGGGGTCTTGATTAGTTTTTGCATAATTTTTAAAAGCAGCTGGGGTTGTGGTTATGACAATTGACCCTACAGGATGCTAGATTGCAGACATTGGGAAAGAGGTAGTGCCACAGGTGACAGGGAAAGACAGGAGCTTAACACATTCCCCAAGAATACCTGTGCTTTATAATGTGTCGCTAAATCTCTCTGTGCTTACTTATTAGATGCAGGAATGCCATCCATTTGAAAAACAAACACCTTCTGAGTGATGCCTTAGAGCCCTGCAATGTATTTTAGCAGTAGTTCTCAGGAATAGGAGGTGGCATACAGTCTGAAGGGAATGCTGCACAGTGTATTTTGATTATCATAGCTGAGGATAGGAATATGCAACCAGAGTCCTTTGAATAGAGATCTGTTAAATACCCTGCAATGTCTAGAACACAAACAACTGTCTGGCCCAATCCCTGTTCTAGAGCATTTCCCCAGGTCAGCCAGATGTTAGCAAATTAGGAATCTTAATTTAATTTGGATCCTCACAAAATTTACTTAACTCTTGTTGCTCAACACAGACCATGTCCCAGAAGCCTTTTTACCTGCAGTGGATCCTCCTGTTCTCGGCATTAAGAGTCTTAATATACTGTTGGAATGGAAGAACTTGTTGGGTTTCCTTGATGCTTTTGAATTGGCTTAAAGTTGAGTTTAAACACAAGTGAGCCTGGGTGATCACTAAGCTCAGTTCTCACTTTATAGGTGATATGCCTATAAAAGACTAGTAAGACCTTGATCGAGTTAGTGAAAGACACCGCTCTAGTTAGAACCTGAGATTAGAGAATTTTATTGATGTTTAGGCAAGCCAGATTTAAAAACAAAATAACAAAAAAAAAAAAAAAAACCAAAAAAACAAAAAAAACAACTGGACTGGATCCTTTGTGAGAGTTTAGTAATACCATTCTTCATAAGAAAATACACTCCTGAATGAGGGCAATGATGTAAGCCTGGTTGACTATGGAACATATGTCTGGGTGTGTGTGACCTGTGACACCACTTCTGAGGCCTGCACTATCTTTTCCATGTCAAAGTAAGCAACAGATGGTCCTACAGACACAGCAGATGCTGCCTTTGAATGCAGGTACAAAACAGAGCATCTCAGCTTCTCCTCCTTTGCTCTCTGCTCTGTGTATCAGGATCAGAGCACATGAATGAATAGGGTTATCTTAGACAGAAGGGAAAAGGAGAAGCTCCTGAGTGTGTTGTGTGTGGGGGAAGATGCCTGGCATCTATGCAAATGAGCTTGCTTAGGAGCAATTGGTGGGTGGGTGGGTAGGTGGGAGAGATCTATAAACTGATGGATGGGTATATACAGCACATTCAATTGTATCAAGCTTAGATTAGAAATCTGAAGACAATTCAAGCTTGATTGTTTGGGGCAAGCTGGGCAAATTAATTCTGGGAGTAAAAGGAACCTTAGAAAATTTCCCAGGCTGGGATGTAACATGCTTGCCTGGCATGAATGAAGCCCTAGGTTTGGTTCCCAGAATCACAAAAGAAGCAGGGGCAGTGGTATATAATTACTGGAAGATTGGGAGTTCAAGATCATACCAGACTACATGACAAGCTTAAAGCTAGCCTGGACCAAATCAGACCCTATCTCACACAAACAAACAAAATACTTGAGGTCTTATTTGCAGCTTGGTAGGTTCCCACCTGTAACCTCATGATTGAAGAGGCAGAGGTAGGAGGATTGCTATGAGTTCAAGGCCAGCCTATTGTCTTAGTTACTGTTCCATTGCTGTGAAGAGACACCAGGACCACAGCTACTCTGATAAAAGAAAGCATTTAATTAGGGGGTTAGTTCATATCGTGGTGGGAAGGTGATAGGTAAGACACTTGGAGGAGTAGCTTCTCATCCTGATCTACAGGGAGAAGGCAGACAGAGAGAGAGAGAGAGAGAGAGAGAGAGAGAGAGAGAGAGATAGAGAGAGAGAGAGACATACTGAACTTGGGATGTTCTTTTGAGACCTCAAAGCCCACCCCCAGCCGTACACCTCTTTCACCAAGGCTACATCTCCTTATCACTCCCAAGTTCATTTATATAGTGGGGATGGTTTCATTCACACCAGTGAGTACTATATCAGAGTGAGGCAACTTCTCAAAAAAAAAAAAAAAATCACTTGTCTCAAACCATAGTTCCAAGCCTTACTCAGGACTTGGTAGTGACAGAACCAAACAAATTTTCTGACTTCTGCTTCACGATACAGCTTGCCCTGCATAGTTTCTACCATCCCATCTGCTTTCTTAATGTTAAAGATTTGGTAGCAATATAAAGTTATTATTAATTTCTTCCTAGAGTTTGATAGGTATGACATTACTGAATGGCTCCATTTCTAGAAAAGAATTACCTCAATGAGTTTTTTTTTCATCTGTTGTCTATCTTTTGTTGCTTTGCTTCAGGGAAAGGGCTCATTCTGTAGCCCAGGTTGGCCTGGAACCTACTTTGTTCTCCAGGCTTACCTCAAACTCTCCACGATACTGAAATCACAGGCGTGAACCACCCTGCCTATCATCTGTGAGCTTTTGGGTATCAGTTGTGCCTGTATGGCTGTGTCAGTCACAAATGACAACATCCACTAACTGGTTTATGTCACTGGAGTTAGACACTGGGCCTGTGGTTATGGATTCAAGTCAGGGTGATATGTCTTCTTTCTGATCCTCATGCCTGGGAGGTTTGCTTGATACAGGAAAGGTCTTGGGGTGCCTTTCCTGGGGAGGTCAGACCTCCAAATGCTGTTAAAGGATGGTCTTATGTTGGCAACTAGCCAAGAGGTTCATCTCAAAGGGAAGCATATGGAAACATTTAGGAATAACTCTGAAAGGACTGACTCCTAGAAGATCAGCCCCCTGCAGGCTCTTCGCTAGAGGGAGGTAGCAACCCTTTCATTTTCGTCTTCCATCTTGCCATTCTTGTTACCCCTTCTCCTGCCATGATGCCCTGCCAGGATAGGAGACTTTAGTAATTCAAATAAGAAACTTAGTATCTGGAAATATTTCCTAGGATTTGAAGAATGTGTCTCTTGTCTTTTGAAAATAAATATAGCCCAAAAAGGATAGTTCATGTTTTCAAATCCCTTCAGCATA